CGGGTATAGGTAAATGGAATTATTTGTGCAGTGTATATTTAACTAATCGTAAGTGGTTTAATGAAATATGCCAAGAGCAAATTAAATAGAATTAGAGAGCGAACAGGCCGTCACGTCACTTGAATGTCGATATAGGAAAGTGAATATTCAAGCTGAAGTAAGAAAGAAATAGAGCGAGTTCGAATATGCATTTAAGAAAGTGCAGAAGGCAGAGATGGAACAATGATATTACAGACGCTTCTGCAAATAAAAGACGTATTTTCAATATGTATAACCAGTAGTATCTTGGAGCACCTATATATTTTAATGATAATATTTAAGAAGATGGTGTTAATAATACAGATTGTCACCCACCCCTACGACAACCTTTAGTTTCAAAGCTAATAACTAACTTCATCGACCCGTATTAGGTTTCATTGGACTTCTTTTAAAACTGAAAATGATTGTGATCACAATGCAATGTTTGAGTCTTAACGCTCTCAAAATTTAATGACTGTCGATTATTGTCATTCAACTGTATGACTTTTAATTCTCTGTCTTACGATTATTTATATGTGTGTCCTTGCTTGTTCGTTCTATTTTATCCCTTTCTTGTTGACCATTTGAAAATCCTTTTCATTCTTCATTTTTGATGCTTTACTGATGCGTATCGTGGGTTGCTGTTGCTTCCTAACGTTTCGCTGTCACTAGTGGTGAGCTTCTCCAGAGCTTCTTTTCATCTCCAACGATGGATGTGGGCAATCCTTTGAAGAAGCTCGCCACTCGTGGTAGCAAAACGATAGGAAACAATTCCAGCTGACGACAGCCTTTTCTTCGGAAAAATCAGTCGCAATAATATTCCAAAGCTCGAGATTTTAAGCGACATTGTTACTACTTACTACGACATTCAAAATAGTAGAAAAGACAACACGAGCGAAGTGCTTGTATTGTCTGTAAAGGTATTGACAGAGAGCTTAGCAACAGTTATGCCTTATCGTAGAAGCGATAAAAAAAATTGGTGTGGCGGAAAATCAGAAATTCGAACTTTTTTTAACTGGAGTATAGCTGATTGTATTTAGAAGCCTCGACTTGGACTACTCGCGTACTACAACCAAATTGTTCAATGACAGTTTAGTCGGTGTGAGTAGGTTACAGGTGCATTAACAAACTAAACTGTTGCTTAAAGAGAAGTAATCTGTATCCGAGGCAATGTTAAAATGAATTTGGTAGAGACGAAAAAAAAAACAAGTATAGTAGATTGTGGAGCCAGTTTAATCAGCTATCTCATGATTTGCGTATATATCCTAGAAAGCTTTTTTACTTCTTTGGACGATAGTTCCAGTATGCGCGTATCCTTAGGGTTTGACTTTAATCCAACCGTCTAATCTATTAATCTCTTGTGCTAAAATCCAACAATTCTCTGATTAATATGTCATCATTCGATTTCATTTAGCTACAAATCGGTCAATAAATTACGGATCTTCTAGTGGGCTATTTTTAAGGTCACTGTTTCTCTGTCCGTAGGAAAATGTACATGCTCATAGCTTTAACCTGTTTCGTATTAAGCATCGATCTCGCAAGTGCAGGTTTGTATCATAAATTCATACACACATACCTGCATTGGTCTGTAGGTAATGTATATATATGTATATGCACACTTATCTTACACATCCAGGCAAATTACATATTAGACGCACACAGACAAGCACTTTCGGTCAGTCGCGCGTGTGTGTATTTACGTGTGTATTACATACACGGCCAGCCAGGTGTACGTCGACTCTGAGGCAATAACACTTCCAAGGACAAATTTAATAGCTGCATAGGCCGATGTGATTGTTTTCAATCACGCTACCTTACGTGAATATTTATTACAAGCCGGCCGGGCCGATCGGCCGGTACTTCTGCTATAATTCGCCTTTGTGTATATAAGTATATTTATTTATATCGGTATGCAAGTGTATGTATGTAACGTGTGTAAGAGAACGTATAAATATATGTATAGCAAGCAGCAAGTTTTAAATATTTTTTGTTGGGCTTCAGGCAATGCGCGAAACCATTTAAATAGAGGTTAGCCCGCATCTACCTCCTTTACCTATAGTCAAATCGCGTAGCCTGGATAGATGTCAGTCAATATTTGACGGTCGCCTTAGATTTTGTGGAAATACTCATAAATAGAATAAGAGGTAATTCAATGAATGCAGTTGACATTGAGATCATTGCTGGTCATCGGCGCCGAGCGGCGGTGGTTTGTCAATAAGACCTGCGAAGCTATAAATAAAAGACTACCTAATTAACTACGTAGTCTGCTTAATAACAAATACGCAAATTGAGGTCATACATCAGTCTTCCCATTCAAAATACTCCTAATTCGTTGTAATACACTCGACTCATCTCCGTTTCCAACAGATGGAGATTTAACGCTCATCGCATGCCTTGTACAAGTCACATCCATACGCTAGACTAGAGTCTCCCTAGAGAACCATTTTAAAAATACCTGAGCCCAATGTGGCGACTAATCATTAGATTTGGGACTATTTAAACCCTTATGGTACGTTAAAATCAGGAACTCCGCAAAGGTACTGAGGCATTAGTAATGGATATCCAGTGAACTTGAGAACATCTCTCAGGGCGACTCGGATGGACGTACAAGGAGCTAGGCAGGTATCGGGGTCGATGGGGCATCTGGGGCTAATTTTCCAGAATTTCTTGGAGATAGAAGTCAAAGCTCCTAAAAACCGTAAGGTATTAGTTAAGGCAATCTAGAGACCATTGGATACTCTTGAGAACCCTTTCCTAGACGAACCGGTTGGATTTGCAGGCGACCGGGTAGGTGTCTAGCTAAAGCTCCTAATTACCCTAAGGTATTAGTTAAGACCATGCAGTGGTCATTGGATAATTTTGAGAACCAACCCCTCGTTGGACTATCCGCGTGGACGTGCAGGCGACCGGGCAGGTGTCGAGGTCGGTGCAGTATCTGACGTTGGTTTTTGAGACTTTCTTGGAGGGAGAAGTCGAAACTTTTAAACACCCTAAGGTATCAATTAAGACAGTCCAGTCACCGGATACTTTTGAGAACCCTCGTTGGACGTCAGTATCTATCTGGCGCTAGTTTTCGAGAATTTCCTGAAGGGGAAAGCCGAAGCTCTTAAACGCCCTAAGGTATTAGTTAGGGTAATCCAGTGGTCATCGGATATTGTTGAGACCTCTTCGTTGGCCGATCCGGGCGAACGTGCAGGCAGAAGGTCAGACAAGTGTCGGGGTCGGTGCAGTATCTGACATTGGTTTTCAAGGCTTTTTTTGGAAGGAGAAGCGGAAGTTCTTAGGCGCCATGAGAACCCCTCGCTAGGCGACCTGGGAAACAGGAGGCCGAGCAAGTGTCGGGGTTGGTGCTAGTTTTCGAAACTTTTTGGGAGAGAAGCCGAAGTTTCTAGTCACCCTAAGGTGTTGGTAAAAACAATCCAGTATTCAAGTATTTATTAGATACTCTTGAGAATCCTTTGTTTGGTGGTCCGACTGGACGTGCAGGGAACCGAGGAGGTGTCGGGGTTAGTGGAATACCTGGCTAGTGTTTTAGGCCAAATGACACGCGATACTCAAATCGCCATAGCATAAGCAGCCACTTCAGGTGCTGGACCAAGTACTTAGTATCCGGGACAATCGCTGTTGATAGAACCCATGACGTCAACCTGTAATTGAGAGAGAGAAGCCGAAGCCGAAGATAGAGGTTCGCGAAAGTTGACTTGCCCGTTACACTCATCAACGTAGCGTATCTGACATCAGCATCAAAGGAATATGACAATTTCATGATCCCGAGATGACTTACAAATGCTGGAGTGCAAGTGATCTAACTGGGAGGAGGATCCGTTCCTCAATGGCCCAAACAGTGCTTTAGACTCGTACTACAAGAAGCCTGTTTACCTCAGGGCAGCCTGCCCGGCTATCTGAGGTTGGAATCGTAGTCGTAGTGATAACACACCACTTACTGGGAGAAAGGATAAGCACCTCGACGGATGAACGGATGGTGTATACTGTTCGAGTACCAAACCTGCTAAGCCTGGTTAGGATTAGACACTCCCGCCCGCAGCAGAGAGTCTTATGGGACCTTGCTCATCTCATAATTTTTAATACAAACGGAGAAATTGAACTAGTTCACTAACAATGCAGTCCGTAAGGCAATGGTAATATACAATGGTATTACCTATTAGTTACAAATAAGAAAACATCTGCAATAAATATTGATAATGACAAGTCGGGGTAGTCAGCTTCTTAGTTTGCCTACTGAGGTGACAATAGGCTAAAATACCGACAGTTAAGTATAAGGAATTGTAACCATAAGATATAATCATATAATGTAATATTTGAGTTTGGTATTACTGAGATTAAAAACTTACATTACATCTGAGTTGTCGTTATAACCGATGTTACAATTCTAATGTATTTAGTATATGCAATAAAGCTTTTATAAACGATCTTACTAAAATTGTGCACTAGTATTATCAAGGTTTTCTTTTAGAAATTTTAAGGTATAAATTCATTTTATAAAATTTGTTTAGTTGCTGATTTAATTATTCTCATCTCGGCCGGAATATGTTAGAGTAAATATTGAATTTACACATTTAAGTGGGACAAGGGATTCTGTATATGGAAAGAATTTGTAGATAGATATGTGGACTGTCTTTGAAATCAGACATTTCCGTTTTATTTACATGGCGACTCGAAATGGCTTTAACACTAATTAAAAAACTTCCCGGCTTTGGTTATTTTTTCCTTAGGCGCTTAATTACTCAGCAGCTGTATCAACAAGTTGCTTAACGACCTAACGTTGGCAACTGCCTTATAAAATCGCGAAATTTATGCGCCGATAGTAAATTACAAATCCAAATACAGGGAAAATTGCAGTGCGCGTTTTAGTCATCGACTCGTCGTAAACGACATTTTTAATTACGTCGATTAGGTTTATGAACGTCACTTTAGGTAGTCGATCGTATTAATTTTACATTCTTTTTTTTATTTTGTTCCAGATTTTATCAGCCAAGTCTCCAAACTGAAACTCAAGTGCATGCCGATTGATTGGAAATATTAGATACATGTACAAGTGAAATTAAGTGCAATATTTTAGTGACTTTAACAGTTAAGTTTCGACATTTTATTAATAACATCGCCTAATAACTGTAGTTATTGACGTAGCGCTTGTAGGAATATTATTCACCTTTACTAGGATTACTTTTCGAGGATTATTATCCGGATTCATTAATATGCTAAGGTGAGTCAATTTGATAGTTTTCTTCTTATTAATAAGAAAAAGGTTAATTAAAAGTAGTGTCCGACCGAAATTGGTTTTTACGACTGAAACCGCAACCGAAACCGAATTTCGGCAACGGTTTCAGTTTCGGCCGAAACCGAAACCGAAACTTCCTTGTAAGGATCATGTTTTGAGAAAAAAATAAAGAAAACGTTATTATAATCAGTCAGCTTTATTTTTTTATCTTTAAATCACATAGCTCTGCAGTCTTTGACATTTTCACTTATTGATAATCAAATCAAAATCAACATAACAACCCCTCATTTAAGGAAATACTTTAATTGCGCCTTAAAAATACTTAAAATAGGTGAGATGTTTATTTGAGTAAGTATAGTAGACTAGACTCATTTTTCTTTTGAAAATTATTCATGCTTTTTTTCATATAATATTAAACATAAAATTACTTTTGTTATTGTTCGCATGGATGGAATTTAACGCGCCGAACATGACCGAGCAGAGCGCGAGAACTCCCGAACGCAGTTTCAGTTTCGGTAGTAGTTTCGGCAGGTTTGCCGCCGAAACCGAAACTCTTTTTTTTGCCGAAACCGAAACTGAAACCGAACATTCGGTCGGACACTAATTAAAAGCTGTAAATTAATTATTATATACATGTATGAGGTCTGTTCAAAAAGTATCGCAAATTTGATTTTTTCAAATTGTTTGTGATCTTGTTCAGCTCCTCCTTCGATAACGTAGCGTCGTCCTTTCATGGGCCTATTCAGTTTCGGGAACAAGAAAAAGTCACGGAGGGTCATATCTGGGGAATACGGTGGCTGCAACATTATTAGTGTGTTGTTTTTGGCCAAAAATTCGTGCACAAGCAACGATGTGTGACCAGGATCCGATTTTTGTTCTTACACAAATCCGGGCGTGTCTGGCGAATTGTTTCGCACAAATTGCGCATAACTTGCAGGTAATATTCGCTGATGACCGTTCTATCCTATGGCAAGAACCCATGATGCACCACGCCCCTGCAATCCACGAAAATTGTAAACAAAGCTATCCCATTCGACCTAACTTTTTAGCACGTTTTTTCTCGGTTTTGGCTCGTGCGGCGGCTTCCATTGAGACGATTGAGTTTTGGTTTCCACCCATGATTCGTCACCAGTTATAACCCTCTCGAGCAAATTTGGGACAGAATCCAACAGACCAACAGCTTCTTAGCAATGTTAATGCGATACTGTTTTTGGTCGAAATTGATCAATCTTGGTATGAATTTCGCGGCGACCCGTCTCAAGCCCAAATCATTGATTGAATTGAATGGTAGGAGTCAATCGATAAGTGTAGGTCCTCAGCAACTTCTTTAACAGTAATTCGACGGTTGGTCAATACTAGTTTCTTCACTTCATCATGATTATCAATATTTTCGTCTGTTGATGACATGCTCAGGCATCTGGCACGCTCTTCATTGTTCACATCTTCTCGGCCGTCTGAGAACATTTTGTACCACCTATAAACGTTGCTTGGGTCCAAGGTGCCTTCACCTTATGCCACAGTCAACATTCAGAATGCGTCCACGCACTTAATTTTGTTTTTCACAAAAAATTTGATACAGATTCTTTGATCCATTTTTTTGAATAGGCAAAAATCGAAGACGAGCCAAAACACGTGCAAGCAAAGCAAATGTCAAAAATTAACTGAACATTCAACATAGCCGAACTTGTCGGTATATGTAAGAGACATGAATACCAACATAACGCCACAAAAAAAATCGAATATACGTAACCCGCGGAAATTTAAAATTCACGATACTTTTTGAGCAGACCTTGTATATCGAACAATAAACAAAAATTCTTTAGAAGCCAATCGACCTATTTTCGATTTAACAGCACCTATAAAGTTTATTGATAATAGAATTTCTATAAATATATGTATAATGTCTCCAAAGTTGGAGTAAAGCTTTACAAACACTCACATTGGGGAACTTCATAATTTTAATTCCTGTATTTTCAAAAATGTAAAGATCGAATTAGTACTTTTAGAAAATACTACAAATGGCGCAGTAAACGCTATCTGTAGCACGATGCTACATTTTAGGATTACGTATGCTCCAACAAGGTCCACTTGTGTGGATATCTACTTGCTGAAAACGAATTCCAGCGTAGCCAACCTCAACGTGATAGGCACGTTAGCTTAATCGAATAAAATAATCCGAAGTGGTCTGTATTCTGCAACGCGCTGATGAGATCCAAAAAGATTGAAATCCGCGTCTGGCAATTTCGACAGAATACAGATCACTTCGAATTATTTTATTCGATTATGGTAACGTGCCTATCACGTTGTGATTAGCTACGAAGGGATTCGTTTCAGCAAGTAGATATCCATATATTTAAATGGACCTTGTTGGAGCATACGTAATCCTAAAATTAAAATTTTCTTAAACGCACTGTTAAGACAGCAGGTAAAAGTTGGTCTGTGTTCTGTCGGGCTGCCTGCGACGCGCTGATGAGATCCAAAAATATCGAAATCGCGATCCGCGTCTGGCAGTTTCGACAGAATACAGACTACTTCGAATTATTGTATTCAATTAGTACTGCTTATTTTTTACTTATTTATGTTATAGAGCGATTATATAAAAAAAAAAATAGTGAATGAACCGCTTTTAAGCGTGTATTTTGGGAAACTTTTTTACTGAACGAATTTTTAAATCCAGATTTCATTTGTGTAACGAGAGCCAATCCCAAAAAATTGTGATAACAAAGAATTTGTAAATTTGTTGGTTAGGTATTTACATCATGGTGTGTGACCTTGACGGATGAAAATAAAGGCTTTCAGTTCCTTTAAGTAAAACTTCGTTAATGAGGATTTAATCTTTTGTATTGTTACATGAATAAACAATGTTTATTCATTACGCTGTAATACGAAAACCTTTAAACATTTTTGTTTTCAAAGGAAAAAAACGGCAATTTCACAGACAGAATTACAACGATATTTCGTTTTGTTTTGCAAACGATTGTCGGCAGGATTTAAAACAGTATATTAATTTATTTATTTGTAACGACGAATGTTTAAAAAACAAAAAACGAATTTAAAATGATATTATAAAATATCGTAAATTATTTTAAAAAGCTTTCTATCTGCACATTTTATTATGCAGACTGGAAAGGAGTTTCACGCTTTTACGTTTTTGAGTTGAACTACATGAAAAAATGAGTTGATTATTTTATTGGCTTCGCTTAGTTGTGGCTAAAATAAACAAAAATTGAAGTACTATTTATGTCATTAAATAAATTACGCTTCATTTGGCGTAACTTGGAGTGACTGTTGCCTTAATTATTATTATGTAGTTAAAATCTTATCTATTAAAAAAATCAAGTTAAAACGTTAATTCTATTTTAATTATTAATTTATAAGTATGAAATAATTGAAATAGCAACAGGCATTTATAGAGTGTGAGCAGCAACATAGAGAAGTAATATTAAGAAAGGAAGATGCACAGATACCTTTTAATTTATACATCGAAGACGCGATCAATAACTTAAAGATAGGACAACTGTTAGGATAGATTTACAGGGGCAAAAGATTAGTATGCTTAGATTTGCAGATGATATAGCTGTATTAGCATCTAGCAAGGGGGAGTTGGAGATAGCTTTAAATAAAATGGAAGCGGTATTAACAAAACAGTACTGTGTGAAAATAAAATATACTGGTATGCAAGGGAAAAAAAAGTAGGGAAAGAGCGAATATAAAGATCGGAGACGAAAAATTAGAGGAGTGGCTGATTTTAGGTATCTAGGAAGTCAGATAAGTCAGGATGGAAGGACCAGTATGAATATAAAGCAGATAACAGCGAACGGTTAATTTAGAAATTCGAAAAAGGTTGTTAAAGGTGTATGTTTGGAGCACGGCGGTGTACGGGTGCGAAACATGGACAGTGGGCGCTTCGGAAAAGAGAAGGCTAGCAGTGTTTGAAATGTGGTGTTACAGGCGAAAGATGAGGATACTGCGGAAGAGGAAGGTTAGAAATGAAGAGGTATTAGAAAAAGTAAGAGAACATAGGACTCTATGGTAGTTAATAAGAAATGAGCGAGAAAAGTTAGTAGGACACCTCAGGCATTCCGGTTTAGTCAGATATATATTAGAGGCAGAAACGGAAGTTAGGAAGAATAGAGGTAGACTTAGATTAGATTACTGTTGGATAATAGTTAAGGATGTGGGCTGTTCTAGTTTTAGGGAAGACTAGCTCAGGATAGGAAAGAGTTGAAGTGCGTGTGTCCTGTGGACTCTATGGACTAAGCCAATCAAAAATAGGAGAGATAGGTTGGTTAGGTTAGATTAAGTTAGGATACCTTTTCGGGCAAGAAAGGCTACTTAAGGATGTATTAGAAATCGAAATAGGGGTTAAGAGGAATAGAGGTAGACCTGGATTAGGTTATAAATAGTTAGGGATGTAGGATGTTCTAGTTTTAGGGATATGCGAAGATTAGCTCGGAATAGAAAAAGGATAGGAAAGAGTGGAGGTGCGTGTCCAACCAGTCTTAGGACTGACGACCTAATGATGTTGATTAAGTGTGAAATGTTAGCCATTATTCTAAATACGAGACAAAAAGTCAAAGAAATAGTTCACTAAATATGTTTTAAAAACTCGAATTATATGTTTTCGTTGAAACATTCGCTTGTAATGTTTTCACATACGGTTAGTTTGATATGTTTCATCATGAATACACTGATAGTCATCTCGGTATATCATTCCCAGTGGGTATTTATTTAAGATTTATTAATATTAAAATTGAGGTTAATATCGAATACGTTGGTATATGTTTTTTTTGTTACGATGGGAGAAATTAATGAGCAGTTAAAAAAATTAAAAACTTTCGTTAACGGTAGGTAATACATAGTAATAATAATATGTCACTTTTTAAATTTCGCTAAATGGATATACTTAGTGTTGTGACCCAACAGTCACAGAAGTTAACCGTCAAACACGGAGGAGTCACGAATATGCTGAACGCCGACTGTAA